TCGCCTTCATCCTCTTCGTCCTCTCATCATCCTCTCCTCCCAGATCCCTCTCTCTCTCTTGAAGGGAGGGATGGAACTGGGAGAGGGAGAGGAGGGGAGGGAGGGAGGAGGGAGAGGCAAGGAGGGAAGGAGCAAAGGGAGGGGAGGAAGGGGGGAAGGAAAAGGAATCAGCAGGGAGAGGGAGGGAGGGAGGAGGGAGAAGGAGGGAGGGAGGGCAGGGGAGGGGGAGGGGAGGGGAGGGGAGGGGGGGAGGGGGGAGAGGGAGGGGGAGGGGCGGGAGGGGCGGAGGGAGGGAGGGGGGAAAAACGGAGGGAGGGAGGGAGGGAAGGGAGGAGGAGGGAGGGAGGAGGGAGGGAGAGAGGAGGGAGGGACGGAGGGAGGGAGTAGGGAGGGAAGGGAGGGAGGAGGGAGTGAGGATGGAGGGAGGGAAGGGAGGAGGGGAGGAGGGAGTACGAGGGGGGGGGGGACGAGGGATGGCCAACTGGGAGGGGGGAGGGCCCACCGAGTCATCGGCGTCCCTGCTCCTACTTTCCGCCATTCCTCCCCGCTCCTCCTGCCTTCCTGCTGCCTCCCGCCCCTCCTCCTGCGTTCTCATCCTCCTCCCTGCCTCCTCCCCATCCCTCCTCCCTGTTCCACCCCAAAACGTCCATCCTCGAATTCCTCCTGCTCAGCCTCAGCCTCAGCCTACTCCTACCTCCTCTGCCCTCGTCCTCCTCCGCCATGCCACTTCCCTTTGCGTACATCCCCCCTTGGCCGCACCACCAGGCGTGTACGAAGGCTGACTCGGGCGTCTCGCCGAAGACTCTCTCACACTCGACTGCCCCGAAGCTCAACACTTCCAACGGCTGCATGGGTGGAGGGCGTCCCCTCCAACAGGCCGCCTTCTTCAAAAGGCTCGAACAAAATACTACGGATGGAGACCCGGTCCTTTCCGAGATGGAGGCTCTCGTCTGAGCGCCGTGCATCCCTTAGTGCACGGACCAAGCGAAGTCTGTTCCGAAATGGGTCTCTCGCCTGAGCGCCTCGGCGACGCGCACATTCGTCTTACAAACTTGCAACAAATACGCGGATGGGAGTCGGAACAGGTTCGAGCTCGGGCTTTGCCCCGGAGACTTCCACAACGAAGATCACAACAAATGTGTACCACCCTGATGCGGGCCGGTTGGTATTGACGCCAAGGCTCTCGCTTGAGACATCCTCCACGCATGCTACCACAAGCGTAAGCTCGTGACAAGCGTAGGCTTGTGCAACAACTGCACGAACAAGGCGGCTCCTTCTTTCAGAACCGGGCTCTCTTTGGGAGACGCCCTCACCTTTCGCGACCACCAGCTTGAGCACACGTCGCAACTGTGCTCAGGGAGGACGCCTCCTTGTGCAAGTGGGGCACTCGAGCGAGACGCCCTCACGTGTCACGCCCGTGTGCGTGCGTAGACTTGCGCAACAACTGCACGGACGGGCGGCGGCTCTCGCTCTCTCTCTCTCTCTCGAGTCGGGGCTCCCGCTGGACACCTCGTGGAACTTCGTGTGATCCCACCTCGCCGCGCTTCCCCATGGCTCGCGTCCCCTCGGTCGGCAAAGGTGGGCAGAAGCATGAAGCAGGAAGGCGTTGAAAGGAGATTCACTTCCGTCCGCCCCACAAGGAGGACAGAAAAGGTGAGGCCACTCGATCATGGAAGCAGGAAGGCGCTTAAAGCAGATTGGAACCTGGGACCCCAAAAATCCCTGCTGTCAACTACCGATGGGGCCTTCCGACGGACGCCAGGCGCTCAACAACGTCTCTCAGAGCGGGGTCCTCGTCGTCCGACCGGCAGGTCCACGGGGTGCTCGTCTTTCACTGGGGCGCACTGCTGCAAGGAGCAGGAGGCCTCGCAGGGACTGACGCGGGTGCTTGGGACGGGATGGCTTGCTGCAGCGTCGTCGAAGCATCTTGCGGTTGCTCGGGTCCCTCCTCCGCCTCCTCCTCCCTCCCTCCCTCCCTCCCTGCCTCTCTTGAGGCCTCCCAGATGGGGTCCGAGTAGATGTGGTCGAAGGATCGCGCCGCGTCGCACATCAATCGCCAATGTATCGGCGATGCACCGGCGATGCATCAGCGATGCGTCAGCGACGTCGCCTATGCAGCGGCGACGTCGACGTGGGGAAGCACGGTCTCCACGTCGAGCCGCAGCTGATGCATCGACGATGCGGCGCGATCCTCGGACCCCATCTACTCCGACCCCTATCTAGGAGGCCCAGACTCCCCACTCCTCCCTCGTCCACGCTCCTCCTCCCTCCCCCTGGGGGCGGCGGAGCGAGAAGGAGCGAGCGAGAGAGAGGCGGCGGCCACGCCGAGCGCCCCCCCCCTCCCCCCTGCAGCAACACGATTGGGGTCGGCGGCGGCCGCCTGTTGCTGGCACGGGGCCCACGGGCCCTGGACACCGAGGCCCCGCCCTCGGGGCAGTGCGAGCAGAGCCAGCGGCAGCTCGAACTCGATGCCCAGGCCCCTCCCTGGGGTCCGAAGGCACGGATTGGCCCAGCGGCTTCCAGCCGTGGAAGCGAGAGGCCCAGCCCCCCCCCCACCGAGGGCCAACTGCTGCGGTCTCGACTCGCCCTCCCCTGAGGAGTTGCTTCCTGACAGTCCTGGGCGGCCAAGAGACAGCCGAGATCCTCGGGGCCAATGCCCCTCAAGTCTCGCTCGTTCTGACGAAGGCATCACTTCTGTTTGGACGCCCGGTACGGAAAAAGTTGGCACGATGCCCAACAACAGATATTGTCCAAAACCGACTGCGGCAGCGGTTGGGCAGGCGGCCTTTTGTCTCGAGTGGGCAACGCCCGCGGCGGCACAGACAGCGAGTCCTGTTCAAAATGATTAGGCTGTCGGCCTTCGTGCCCATTCTTCTCGTATCCATCTCGATCGTTGGCGGCATGGGGGCCCGAACTCGTTGGGATCCCAGGACAGCAGTCAGGAATGGGGGATGAAGCTGAACACGATCAAAATCGGCCCCCAGACCCCGCCCAGGGTCCATCTGGTGTGGTTTTTCGCCACGGTTGCATCTTTCACGGTCCCCGGGGCCCGAAAACGCCCCCCCGGGCCGACCAAGGCAACACAAAAAAACACAAAACAAAACAAACAACAAAACAAACAAATATCCTGGCGAATGACCCAACCATACGCAGTTGTGGGTACCACAATTGTGAACATCTCCTTCGGTGAAACTCCCTATGGGGCCACGAAGCGCTGCACTGGGTGGGGGGGAACGCTATTCTGGGTGAGTGGTGTGTCAAGAAATGTTTACGGGACGCATGCGGACGGTCCCACTGGGGGCTTCGGTGGAGCTCCCTATGGGGCCACGAAACGCTGTACTGGGTAAGTGAAAATGACAAATTGGGCTTCCGGGACGCTTGCGGACGGTCCCACTGGAGGCTTCGGTGGAACTCCCTATGTGGCCACGAAACGCTGAACTGGGTGGGTGAAAATACCATTGGGCTTCCGGGACGCATGCGGACGGTCCCACTGGGGGCTTCGGTGGAGCTCACTAAAGGGCCACCAAACGCTGTGTTGGGTGGGTAAAAAAGCCACGTTGGGTTTTCGGGACGCATGCGGACGGTGGCACTGGGGCCTTCGGTGGAGTTCCCTACGGGGCCACGAAATTTTGGACTGGGTGGGTGAAAATGCCGCAATGGGTGTTTCGGGACGCTTGCGGACGGTCCCATTGGGGCCTCCGGTGTAGCTCCCTGTGGGGCCACGAAACGCTGCACTGGGTGGGTGAAAATGCAACATTGGATGTGCGGGACGCATGCGGACGGTGGCACTGGGGCCTTCGGTGGAGCTCGCTGTGGGGACACGAAACGCTGTACTGAGTGGGGGGGGCGCATGTAGACGGTGGCACGGGGGCCTTCGGTGGAGCTCCCTATGGGGCCACGAAACGCTGTACTGAGTGTGGGGGACGCATGTGGACGGTGGCACTGGGGCCTTCGGTGGAGCTCCTATGGGGCCACGCAACGCTGTACTGAGTGGGGGGGACGCATGTGGACGGTGGCACTGGGGCCTTCGGTGGAGCTCCCTATGGGGCCACGAAACGCTGTACTGAGTGGGGGGGACGCATGTGGACGGTGGCACTGGGGCCTTCGGTGGAGCTCCCTATGGGGCCACGAAGCGCTGTACTGAGTGGGGGGGACGCATGTGGACGGTGGCACTGGGGCCTTCGGTGGAGCTCCCTATGGGGCCACGAAACGCTGTACTGAGTGGGGGGGACGCATGTGGACGGTGGCACTGGGGCCTTCGGTGGAGCTCCCTATGGGGCCACGAAACGCTGTACTGAGTGGGGGGGACGCATGTGGACGGTGGCACTGGGGCCTTCGGTGGAGCTCCTATGGGGCCACACGCTGTGTGAGTGGAGGGGGGGGACGCATGTGGACGGTGGCACGGGGCCTTCGGTGGAGCTCCCTATGGGGCCACGAAGCGCTGTACTGAGTGAGGGGGACGCATGTGGACGGTGGCACTGGGTCCTTCGGTGGAGCTGCGAAACGCTGTACTGAGTGGGGGGGACGCATGTGGACGGTGGCACTGGGGCCTTCGGTGGAGCTCCCTATGGGGCCACGAAACGCTGTACTGAGTGGGGGGACGCATGTGGACGGTGGCACTGGGGCCTTCGGTGGAGCTCCCTATGGGGCCACGAAGCGCTGTACTGAGTGGGGGGGACGCATGTGGACGGTGGCACGGGGGCCTTCGGTGGAGCTCCCTATGGGGCTACGAAACGCTGTACTGGGTGGGTGAAACAGGGAAGAGGGGGAGGAGGGAGGAGGAGGAAGGAGGGGGAGGAGGAGAGGAGATGAAGAGGAGGAGGAGGAGGAACGCGGGGACCGTCTGTTCAAAACGAGGACCCAACAACACAGGTTGGTTGGGAACAATCCCCGAACCCAGGACCTCGAACCTTCCCGCCCTTTCGGCCGGCTTGAGCTGGTGCTGGACCACATCAGACGCCCAGACGGCCCCGAGCGGAGACGCGGGCGGCAGCTCTTTTCTCTTCTTGGCAAGGGCCGGCGCTCGCCACGGGCGAGGCGGGTCAGGGGGAGAGTGGGGTTCTGTTGCATCCTCGGGGGACCTTGTCTGTCCCGTCGCGGCCCTATCCGCGTCGAATCCGTGTCGAATCCACGCCGGCCTCGTCGGATCCATGTCGAATCCGCGTCGAATCCACGCCAAATCTGCGTCGAGTCCGCATCGAGCCCGCGTCGGGCTCAAGATGAGACACCGAGTTTGGGGGCAGGCGAGGCCCCCCGAAGATGTAACGTAAGTTTGCCTCTTCTTGGCAAGGGCCGGCGCTCGCCACGGGCGAGGCGGGTCAGCGAATGAGCCGAAGAGAAGGCAGGAGGAGGAGGAGGAGGAGAAGAAAAGAGGAGGAGGAGGAGGTCGAGGAGGTCGAGGACTCCTTGAGGTAAAGCTCACAAGATATTCAAAAGACGAGAGCGCTCGCAGCGTTCTGGAGCGTCCCCGATCGGCGGCACAGGCCGAAGGCCTTTACACGAATAACCCCTCAATGTAAGCACTGTTTCGGGAAAATGACATCCATATGTTTGTGTACATGTATGGATACATATACACATATATATATATATAGAATATAGATATGTGCATTCAACTGTCGGAGTTCTGCGATCCCAGAAATCAGCGAGGACCTCCGAAAGACAATGCTTATATGATGCTGCTCCCATCGCACTCAAGGACCACATCCCACAAGTCATTTCGAGCACCCAGGCAAGTATCGAAACAGTGTCAAAATCATATCGCCTCCCGGGGACGGCACGTCGAACCCTCAAGTTTCGGTTCTTTCGTGGTGCTCGATTTTTTGTCTGGTGATCGAGGCTAAAGTAGGTTGGAACATCATAACGCTCATGACGACTTTTTCGCTCTCCCAAGGTTTAATCAAATATGTGTACGACAACCCTCAAGGTGATAAGGAACATGTAGGGGGGTCACCTTACGGTGTGCGATCAGGATAAAAATGGAGTCGGTGGAAACCGGTCGGGAACCACGGAACACCTGTTTGGCGATCTGTCTGTCGATATCACTCTCTATCTACTTATTGATCTCACCATCGGTCTCCCTCTAACTATCGACCTCAATATCTGTCAACCTCACAATCGACCTCACTATCGATCTCTCTATCGATTTGTCGATCGATCTAATTATCGATCTCACTATCGACTTCACGGGACACCACGGGACACCGCGCCACGGAACACCACGGGACACCACGGGAAACCGCGCAACGAGACACCACAGGACACCGGCGGAACACCCCCGAGCCACCGCGGGCCAACCGGGGGGTGTAGAGTCATTGAGCTCGGTTACGCCCTGGCCGCGGCCTCTCGCCCGCATACGCACCTTCGCCTTGCCCGTGCGCACGTCACGAACACGAAACTGAAACCGATTTCCCGGTGGGGGGTCTCCGTTTCACTTCGAACTCACCCCCCAGCCTCCGACAAGGACGAGGCGGAGCAGCAACATTTGACGTGAAAGGTACGGGTCCTGAAGGACAAGTGCGGGCAAAACCTGTGTCCACACAGCAGTCTGGAGTTTCGGGCTCACTTCCCCAGAAACTCGAGGCGCACTGGATATGGATAAATTTGCCCCCTAGAGACTCGATTTCTACACATATCCAATGCGCCTCCGCCTTGTGGCGCCCCGTCCAAGCAAGTCCAGGACGCGCTTGACATGGATACAAATCTTGCCCTGAACAAGGGCCCCAGACCCCGAGGCCTTCTCCCCAGACCCACTTTTGACGGCCCGAAGGCTTCGAGGACGGCCCCGAGAGGCCGATGAATGCCACAAACCTCCAGGACCCGTTCCACTCGCAGCTACTGGGAAGATCTCTGGGATCGTGCCCGTCGGGCGACGTCAACTGGGCGACGAACAGAAACGGGTCTTACGCGAGATGACGTGGCGACCTTACGCGGCGGCTTGCGCGGGCCGCCCGCGCGCGACCTGACGCGGACAGCTTACGCGCGAATGTCGGCGCAAGCGACCACGTTTTCTTGCGTCGCCATACAGGCCCCGAGATCCAACATTGCCGAACCATTGCAGCATCGCGGGAAATCACGACCAGAGGCCCAAACCCTTTCTGCGGCACCGTTCGAGCCGGGTCGATCCGTGGCCCCGGGGCCCGAATCAAGGAACAAGAAGCCCTGCGCGAGAAAGCTGCAACACCAAGATCTCAGGGCACCGCAAGTGACCACCTCACCGATCCCGGCCAAAGCCCGTCCTTGGGGAAACAAACGGATCCGCCCCCGTGACCTCTGGCACGTTGAGGCGTGCTAGAATGGCGAGTGCTGTCTGGCAGGGCTTTTGTAGTCTTGTCAGGGCCCCCCCCTCCCAGGCCGCGTAGAGTTGCGTGTACCGCTCCCTCTTCAGGAGGCTCTGCCGGCGCCCAGACACGTTCCTGGCACTCTTCAAGGCGTCCAAGATGCCGAGGTGGCTTCCAAGATGGACCTCAAAAGCCGCCAAGAGGCAAAAGATGCCTCCAAGACGGTCGAAAGTGGCTCCCAAATATCCAGAGATGGCCTCGGGACGGCACCGGCGGCCTCCAAGACGGGCCAAGAGTGTTCAAAGAAAGCCTCCAGCAAGGCCCGAAGAGGCCAAATTCGTAGATGTCCATTCTCATTGTTTTGAATGTTTTCGTATCATCGCCTTTTCAAGCTTCCGTTGGCACAAGACGGCCCAAGATGCCTCCAAGATGGCCCCGCGACGGCCCAAGGGAGCCTTAGCCCGAGAGATCTCCAAGACGGCCTTCAGACAGATCAAGACGGCCCCTGGACAGCCCAGAACGGTCTCAAGAGGGCGTCAGATTGGCCCTAAAGGCCCTCAGGAGGGACCCAAGACGGCCTACGGTCCCATGATAACCCAGAGAGACTACCAAGACGGTCACGAAGGCCCCAAGAGAGCCCAGGACAGCAAAAGAGAGCCTCAAGACGGCCGAAGAGGGTCCCAAGGAATCCCAAGACGGCCTCTCAGGAGCTCAGGACAGGCCACTGACGCCGAATGAACGCGACGGGTCACGAAACCCCAAGGGTCAGAACACGTTGGCAGTCAGTCCAAGGTTCCCCGCAAAAGGCCCCAATCATCTATTCACATGGGCCGCAATGTCACACATGAAAGGCACCCGTGCCCAGTCGAACGGTCGAAATCCATCATGTTGAGCTGGTACGATGGCGGGATTTGCCGCAAGCAACTGGATACCGATGCCGCTACTCCCAGGACCTCTCCCGGGTAGCGGTCTGATCAGAATTTCGAGGCGAGTCCAGCGGTGGAGACGAGGGCTTCCCAGGAGGCCCGAGAACGCGCATACGAGGGAAGGCTCGCAACATCGGCACCTCCTCCTCTCCGCATCCTGGGCCCGGGATCCGTGGCCCCTCGTGCCAAGAGCAGCGGGAGAGGCAGGCGGGAGCAGCAGGTGGGCGTGCGCGTGCCACCCTCGGGGTGAGCGCAACGGCCCCGCCTGCTCCGGAGAGGGGCCGCGGCCACGCGCCGCCTATCCCAAAGCGCCGAGCCAAGTTCAGAGAGGACTCCCCCCCCTGGCCCCGCGCCCGTCCGCCCCTCCCACCTCGAAACTTCTTCCTCCTCCTCCTCCTCCTCCTCCTCCTCCTCCTCCTCCTCCTCCTCCTCCTCATGCTCCTCCTGCTCCTCCTGCTCCTCATCCTCCCCCTCCTCCTCCTCCTCCTCCTCCTCCTCCTGCTCCTGTCCCTGCCCCTGCTCCTGCTCCTGCTCCTGCTCCTGCTCCTGCTCCTGCTCCTGCTCCTCCTCCTCCTCCGATACATCGAATGTATACACAGGTGCATTGCGTAACCCGTGTTACCCGCTTGAGGGGGAGTTGGCGGCCGGTAGCCTGACCTTTTTCGCGCTGGACGGCCCCACGTAGGCCCGCGCGAACCTACCGTCGGGGTCTGATTGGCGAGGACGCGCGACGAGGACCCAAGACCCTTCCGAGCCACAGAAACGTAAGAGGCATGGGTCACGAATGACAGGACACAAGGGCAGCCTTGATGCGGCAAGGTCGACTATGTCGGGCATGTCCCCTACTGGCGAATTGTTAAAGACAAATGAAACATTGCCAAAGCATACTCAAACATGATCGGAAGTGGCAAAGGCATCGTCCCCATACGATTTGTCCAAACCATCCTGTGGTTTTGGATCCTAAGTTTGAAGAGACGGTCCCCGCGTTCCTTCTTTCCTTTTTCCCTTCCTTCCTCCTCCCCCTCCTCCCTCCTTCCATCCCTGCCTCTGCCCTGCGCATGTCGTCATCATCATCATCATCATCATCATCATCATCATCATCATCATCATCATCATCATCAGCAGCAGCACCATCATCGTCATCGCCATGCCATCGTCATCATCATCATCATCGGCGTCATGATCACCACCGTTATCGTCACCATCATCGCCGCCACTTTCCCCACACCCCTTACACGTTTCGTGGCCCCACAAGGAGCCCGATCGAAGGCCCCAATGGCGGTGTTCGCATGCGTCTCGCCCACCCAGCACAAGGTTTCGTGGCCCCATATAGAGCCCCACCTAAGGCCTTAGTGGCGGTGTTCGCATGCGTCTTCCCCACCCAACACAGCGTTTCGCTGACCCCATAGGGAGCTCCACCCAACGCCCCCGTGGCGGTGTTCGCATGCGATTCCCCTACCCAATGCGGCGTTTCGTGGCCCCACAAAGAGCTCCACTCAAGGTCCCGGTGGCGAGGTTCGCATGCCACCCAGAACCGCGGTTCGTGGTCCCGAAGGGGGGGAGGGGCGGCCAGGGGCTATGATGCCCATTCTGTGCCCCACGCAACAAGGAAACAGGCTCCAAGAGTCCCGCCTCCCGAGAGCCCGAGCTGCGCCGGCGGCGGCGCCCGTCACAGCTCCGCGGGCTCCCGCGGAGCGCCCGGCGGGGGGCCGGGGCGAGGCGCCTCCCGGGCGGCCGCGCCGGGGGTACCCGCGCCCGCGGTGGACTCCAGGGTGGACATCCTGTCGGGGGCGTCTCGAGAGCGAGGGGGTCCAGGGACATACACACAAATTCACATATAAACACACACGCACACACACACACATCTACACACACACGCACACACAATACATGCACACAGACGCACACACACAACAGACACACACGCACACACATTCACATACATATGTATATACATACACACACGCGCACACACGCACACACGCACAAACACACACACACACACACACACACACGAACAAAAAAGAATCGATACCGAACCCAGGATTCGCCACATGTTCATATGTTCTGGATGTTCGTCTTCCCCTCCCACTTCCCGCACGTTCCCTATCTCTTTTTCCGGGGAATCGGCGATTCGTGGTACCTGCTTCTCTTTCTCCCTCCCAAGAGAGGGGGGGGGTCGTCCAACATGGGGGGGGGTCGCACAGCATGGCCCGAGGCACGTGCCAAGGGACGAGGGGGAGCCATGGGGCCGAGTGGACGACGAAGCCGGGGCCGTGAGATCCGGAAACCCCGGGTCTCCCGGCTTTTAGCCTGGAGGACTCCCAAATCCGCCGACCCTGTCGGCGTGTGTGAGGGGCTTTTCCGTTCGAGCCGTCATCTCCGTCATTCTTTGTACTCGTCGTCTCTGTCCTTCCCTTTCCCTGGGAGACCTCTTCCCCTGGGCTCCAGCCAAGCCGACCTTGAGCAACCTCGTAATTGAGTCGAAGGGAAGCCCCTTCCCTTTGATCCCTCCCCCGCCGGGAGGGGGGGGGGGGGTGTCGACCCCCCCCCGGGTCAGATACGACGCCCCCCCCTGGGACTCCTCTTCCCCTGGGCTCCAGCCAAGCCGACCTTGAGCAACCTCGTAATTGAGTCGAAGGGAAGCCCCTTCCCTTTGATCCCTCCCCCGCCGGGAGGGGGGGGGGGGTAGCGACCCCCCCCCCGGGTCAGATACGACGCCCCCCCCTGGGACTCCTCTTCCCCTGGGCTCCAGCCAAGCCGACCTTGAGCAACCTCGTAATTGAGTCGAAGGGAAGCCCCTTCCCTTTGATCCCTCCCCCGCCGGGAGGGGGGGGGGGGTGTCGACCCCCCCCCCGGGTCAGATACGACGCCCCCCCCTGGGACTCCTCTTCCCCTGGGCTCCAGCCAAGCCGACCGACCTTGAGCAACCTCGTAATTGAGTCGAAGGGAAGCCCCTTCCCTTTGATCCCTCCCCCGCCGGGAGGGGGGGGGGGGTGTCGACCCCCCCCCCGGGTCAGATACGACGCCCCCCCCTGGGACTCCTCTTCCCCTGGGCTCCAGCCAAGCCGACCTTGAGCAACCTCGTAATTGAGTCGAAGGGAAGCCCCTTCCCTTTGATCCCTCCCCCGCCGGGAGGGGGGGGGGGGTCGACCCCCCCCCCGGGTCAGATACGACGCCCCCCCCTGGGACTCCTCTTCCCCTGGGCTCCAGCCAAGCCGACCTTGAGCAACCTCAAGCCCCTTCCCTTTGATCCCTCCCCCGCCCCCCCCTGGGACTCCTCTTCCCCTGGGCTCCAGCCAAGCCGACCTTGAGCAACCTCGTAATTGAGTCGAAGGGAAGCCCCTTCCCTTTGATCCCTCCCCCGCCGGGAGGGGGGGGGGGGTGTCGACCCCCCCCCCGGGTCAGATACGACGCCCCCCCCTGGGACTCCTCTTCCCCTGGGCTCCAGCCAAGCCGACCTTGAGCAACCTCGTAATTGAGTCGAAGGGAAGCCCCTTCCCTTTGATCCCTCCCCCGCCGGGAGGGGGGGGGGGGTGTCGACCCCCCCCCCGGGTCAGATACGACGCCCCCCCCTGGGACTCCTCTTCCCCTGGGCTCCAGCCAAGCCGACCTTGAGCAACCTCGTAATCTCTTGCTGCGCATTGCGAACAGGGTCGGCGGCACCGGCCGTCAGGCCTTCGCAATACGGTCCGAGCAGATGGGGTCGGAGAATCGCGCCGGATCGGCGACGCATCAGCGGTGTACCAGCGACGCATCGCCGACGTCCACGATGCATCGGCGGCGCCGGCGTGAAGAGAAACGGTCTCCTCATCGAGCCGCATCGCCGATGAATCGGCGATGCGGCGGGATCGTCCGACCCCATCTGGGAGGAGGAGGAGGAGGAGGAGGAGGAGGACGACGAGGACGACGAGGACGAGGAGGAGGACGAGGAGGAGGACGAGGAGGAGGAGCAGGAGGAGGAGTAGAACGAGGACGAGGACGAGGAGGAGGACGAGGATGAGGAGGCTCTTGGCCGCCCCCGATCCTGGACACGCCGGACTTCGAGGACCGCACCCTCGGCTGCGACCGCGCCTTCTTGATGGACACCTGCAGCCCGTAGCGCGGCAGGAGGCACCGGTCCCTGCGCATCTGCTTGGCCAGCTCGCTGCCCACGAGGCTCGCGGCCCGCGCCTGGCAGGCCCAAGCAAGATCGAACCGCGAAATCCGATCGGATCGAGAAGGGATCAGAGAGCCGGCGAATCGTCCCGAATCGAATCGAAGTCGGATCGCCGCGCTGGGCTCCGTGTTGACCTGGCCGATGCTGGTGACTCGAACCGAATCGGACTCGCGGCCCCAGCCGGCAAATCGGCTTGCATAGAATGCGGCCTTGCCTGGTCGGTGAGCTCCCTCAACCTGGCGTCCGCCATGTTCTGGCTGACCTTGGTGGGCGGCTGCACCTGGGGTCGGCGAAAGATGCCGTTGCCGCTGCACTCCCAAGACCTGCCTGGGGTGCGCCCTGACCGAACATGTCGAAGCAAGTCCAGCCGCGGCGACGGGGGCCTCCCTGAAGAAGACCCCAGAAGGCGCAGAAGAGAGGCGAGGGTATAATGGGTGTCGGTACCTCTTCCACCTCTGGGCACCGTGATGCGGGCTCTGAGTTGGCCCGGCTGCGATCGGACCATTTCGATGCTCAGGAGCCTGTCCAGCGCGTCCGGGGCGCCCTGCCAGGAGAGCCCAGAATCGAATCGATAAGTCGAATCGGCGATCAACATGAATCGGATCGGCGGAAATCGGCAGGCAAGTCAGAAGAAGTCAAGGCCTTCATTGAGAAAAACGATATCCAACTCTAGAAGCCTCCTAGATGGGGTCGGAGTACATGGGGTCGGAGGATTGCGCCGCATCGCCAATGCATCGGCGATGCACTGGCGACATCGGCGGTGCACCGGCGACGCTGGCTTGGAGTCCACATCGAGCCGCATTGCCGATGCATCGGCGATGCGGCGCGATCCCCCGACCAAATCTACTCGGACTCCACCTAGGAGGCCTAGAGAAATCCAAATCGGAATCCGAATTCGAATCGAATCAGAATTGGGGTAACTAGGAGGTGCCGATACCGCTACCCCCTGGACCTCTGCCGGATTCGTTCTTACCAAAATCTCGAGGCGAATCTTACCGTGGCGACGAGGGCCTCCAAGGAGGCCCAAGAAGGAACACGAGGGAAGGGTCGCAGTCTGGGTGCCTCTCCGAAAGAACAAGAAGCTGCATAACTTTCACCGGTCCGTGCAGATTTCCGGAATCCGTGATGGGCCGGCGCCGGAGGCGCCGCCAGGGAGGCCCAGCGCAGATCCAAGAACTCCGCGCGGAGCGCCAAAAGTTTTTAATGTATATCGTTTCTTCTTCTTCGACTTTCGTCGTCCGAAGATTTTGCATTCGACCCGAGTCGAGTCGGAGGAGTCGGCACGCGAGCCCTGCGCCCCTGCGCCTGCTGCGCGGCGCCGCCCGCGGGCTGCGGCGCGGACGCCGCGCCTGGCGTCGACAGGGAGCCGAGCCGCGAGCCCGCCAGGGACGGGGTGGAGAACGACCGCGCCATGACATCCGTGAGCGGCTGCCGCCAGACCTGGGGCAGGTCGGGCGTTCACTGATGGGGGGGCGATAGACGGGGGGGTAAGAAAGGTGCACCTTTCGTGCACCTTTCGTACCCCTTCGGGGCCCTAGGGGGCTCGTTAGGGCCCCTTTCGTGCAACCCTCGACGCTCCCCCCCTTTATCACCCCCCCAATACCGAACGCCCAAGCAGGAGCAATCAACATCGAACCGGGAAATCGTGTCGGGTCTGACCGTGCTTCGAGTCGGGCCGCATCGGCACCGAATCCAGATCGGATCGCATCGGCTGCGCAAGGATGCACTACAGCGCCATACAAGCATCGAGCCGCATCTGATCGCCCGCGTTGGTCACCGAGGCGGACACTGACATCTGAATGTGGCACGAGTGCTCGCAAAATGTTCCGAGGCTTGCAATACTAGGCGCGCACCGTGGAGACGCACGTCCGAACCGAACAGATCGTGCACATATCTTACCCATCGGTCGGAAGAAGTAGGTAGAAGCATGAAGTAGGAAGGCGTTGAAAAAAGATTGGGCTCCGTCCGCCCCCCAATAAGAGGACGGAAAAAGGTGGAGCCACTCGATCATTGAAGTAGGAAGGCGCTTAAAATAGACTGGAACCTGGGAATCCAAAAATATCTACTTTCAACGACCGATGGGTATACGATATCGTTGTCCAGGATTGGCGGTGCGCACACGGGGGTGGAGGGAGGGGGAAGGGCTTCTTAGAAGGAGGCTGCTTATTAGAAGGCGCCGGCCTCACATCTACAGAGAAGGCCCGCGCCTTCTAAGAAGCAAGGGTGTTTCTAAGAAGCCCTCCCCCCTGCCCCCCTCTGCGCGTGGCTGACAGGAGGCGGTGTGTGGCCAGAAAGCGCCCGCCACCGAGCGCAGAGACATAGTTACCGGAAGAGCTCTGGGCGCGCGCGCCGCCACCAAGGGGGGGGGGCCTGGCGCACAATCGCCGGTGCGCGACTGCCGCTGGGGGACTTTTGGCGGGCGCACACGGGGGCAGCAAGGGGGCAGGGGGAGGGCTTCTCAGAATCGGGGGCGGCCAAGAGGGGGGCCTCAAAGAGGGGGGGCGCAAATCGTGGACCGAAGCATGTGCGAGGATCAGGGGGGGGGCAGGGACGTAATGAAATAAGAAGGGGCGCCATGAAATCTGGGGAAATATCATGGCCCACGCCATGATGTCCACCTCCCCCTAGTTATCACCCCCCTCTTGGCCGCTCCCGATACAAGGAGGCTGCTTCTTAGAAGGCGCCGGCCTCATATGTACAGAGAAGGCCCGCGCCTTCTGAGAAGCAGGGGTGCTTCTGAAAAGCCTTTCCCCCTCCCCCTGCCCCCCCCCTGCGAGTGGCCGATCTTTTTCGGCAATGTCCTGGCTTAGATATCCAGCCGATGGCCAAGGGGGGAGGTGCCGGCCGATAGCCTGACCTCTTCACTCTGAGCAACCCCACGCGTGCCCGCGCGCGGTGGGCGGCTGCCGCCAGACCTGCGCCCCGACAGGCTCGCGTACTGAACAAATCAAGACTGGATATTTTCTTACAATTTTCGGCCTCTGGGGGCCCTTACCGGGACTGTCAACATAAAAACGATTTATGATGAAAAACAGGTCCTGGGGAATGGGTCGAGACCTCTGGGGGTCAACGCCATGGCAAAAATCACAACGTCGGGGATCTGGGGCTAGAGTCCTCCCTGACGGGGTCGGAAAAGATGGGGTCGGAAGATCGCGCCGCATTGTCGACATATTAGCGATGCATCGGCGCCCTCGGCGATGCATCGGCGACGTCGGTGCGGACAAAGTCGAGCTCCACATCGAGCCACATCGCCCCTTGCTCCTCTCATTGTCTCTGCTTTCAGCACCTCCCCCTCTTCTCACGCGTTCCCTCACACGCTTCGTGAACCCCATAGGGGGCTCCGCCGCAGGCCCCAGTGGCAGCGCCCGCATGGCGGCACCGCCTCAATGTCGGCACGCCCTTAACTGGAGGCCTTCTAGATGGGGGCCGTCGAACCGCATCGACCCATGCGTCGCCGACGTCGGCGTTGACAAAATCGGGATCCACATCAAGCCGCATCGCCGATGCTTCTGCGATGCAGCGCGATTCTGCGACCTCATCTGCTCGGACCCCATCTGGGAATATGGCTGCTCCCTAAGGGCCGACGTCACGGAAAAACTGCGGTCCCGTTGGAGATCACGGCGGAGCCATCGACCCCATCTGCGTGCGGGTCTCTTCGAACTGGGCCCGAGAGCGTTCGGGAACCCAGGCCCGAACGCGGGTGGAAACGGCCGCTTCAAACACCTGCGGTAGAGGAAGAAAAACACCTAAACATAAACTTTCGACGGTCCGCGTGGATTTCTTGGCCCTCCCTGGCGCGCGGAGCGCGTCAGGGGCGGCGCCAGAGGCGCCGCAGGGGAGCCCTAGCGCGGATCCGAGAAATCCACGCGGACCTCCGAGTTATTGTGCTCATGTCACTGTTCGTCGTTCCCCCATTCAAACACCTGCGACGCCAGGATCTCCGGGTCCCCCCAAGTGCCTCTCCCGGGCGCTCTGCCCGGGGCTTCGGGGCGAGTCCAGCGCCAGCGCTGTTGGCGACGAGGGGGGTGCTGGGCAGCTCGGGGGGCGGAGCGTCGGTCCCCCCCCCCACATCGGGCAACGACATAGCTGTACATATCCACTGCTCCTCCTCTTCCTCCATCCCTCCTCCTCCTCCTCCTCCTCTTCCTCCTCCTCCTCCTCCGCCTCCGCCTCCTCCTCCCTCCTTCTCCTTCTCCTCCTCCTCCTCCGTCACGTTTTGGTTCGTGGCATGGCCCCGGGGGATCTCGACCCCCCATTCCGGCCCCCGGGGCCGGGAGACGGCCCTCCCACGAGGCAGAGCCAATAGCCGTCGAGCAAAAAAGACTGCCGTCGCTGCGGGTCCGACGGAGTACCTCGGAGCAGGGCGAGCTGTGACAGCAGAGGCCTCCCAGATGGGGGTCCGACCACATGGGGGTCGGAGGATCTCGCCGCCTCGCCGATGCATCGGCGGTGCACTCGCGACGTCGGCGATACATCGGCGACGTCGGCGTGGAGAAAAATGGGCCGAATATCGAGACGCATCGGCGATGCATCGCCGATACGTCGGCGATGCGCCGAGATCCTCCGACCCCATCTACTCCGGGCCCATCTAGGAGGTCTAGCGGGAATACCTCAGAGCAGGGCGAGTTGTGACAACGGCAACTGAAAATCGGTTCCCGGCCCCCTCCAAGGGTCCAAACGCACCAGTTTTCCGAGCTGCGTCCAGCCGCGGCGACGAGGGGCCCCCCGAGGGCAAACTAGTCAACGTTTTCTTTTTCGGCGTTTCGGCATTGGGCGGCAGGGGGGGAGGAAGGGGGTCTGGCTCTGGACCTCTGCTTCGTGCAACGGTTTGCAACAGTGCGTCCATTATGGGGGAGACTGCACCTGCTTCAAACAGGCGCCAAAAACAGCCAAGATCTGCTCCATGGGGGGGGGGGGGTGCGAGGGCCTGCGCCGATCGGCAAAACAATGAACAAACAACGATCACCTACCGTTGTCTCAGCTCGCCCTCCTCTGCACGTCGTTTCCCAGACATGCGGCGTCTTGATGTTTGCAGTCCTGGGTCCCGAGCCGTTCTTTGACGGTCCCCGTGACCGGCAGGGCTGGGCCGCTCTCCCCTGAACATCGGTACGACAGGTTCGTGTCGTGTCGGCCTCAGCGTTGGTTTCTGCCACCGCGGGGATGGTTCAACCTTGAAGGATCGGCCCTTTACAACACGCTGGATCGTTCAACGATGGGCCCATTCTTGGTCCCCGGCGACGTTCAAGCTTGAACGCCGCCGGAAGGGTCGCCGCCAACTGGATTCGCCTCATCCCTCAGGAATGCACTGACCCAGGTCAGTTCAAACCCGGGTCAGTCAGGCTTTACAGGATACTGCAAAATCCTGCAGGATCCCGCAGGATCCTGCACTCAAGCCCGGGTCAGTGCATCCCTGCATGGCCCTGCGGGATCCTGCAGAGTCTGGCGCTCTGGCTTCCCCCGTTTGCATTGACCCCCTTCTCTCTTCCGGTGTTGCTAGGAGTGCCCCTGGCCGAAGGTACCCCCAGGATTCTCGGGGTGGCCCAGACGGCCTCCGGAGCACCCCCGCACGAGGCCTAGAGGGCCCCATGGTTTCCAAGATGGAGCGAAACGCTGGGGACACTTTGGGCCAGGGGCACTTCTAGCCCTCCATCATCCCTCCTCCCACCTCCTCCTCCTCCTCCTCCTCCTCCTCCTCCTCTTCCTCCTCCTCCTCTGCCCTCCTCCTCCTTCCTCCGCCCTCCTCCGCTCCTCCTCCTCCTCCTCCTCCTCCTCCTCCTCCTCCTCCTCCTCCTCCTCCTCCTCCTCCTCCTCCTCCTCCTCCTCCTCCTCCTCCTCCTCCTCCTCCCTCCTCCACCCTCCTCCGCCCTCCTCCTCCTCCTCCTCTCCTCCTCCTCCTCCTCCTCCTCCTCCTCCATCTCCTCCATCTCCTCCTCCCCTCCTCCTCCTCCTCCTCCCCTCCTCCTCCTCCTCCTCCTCCTCCTCCTCCTCCTCCTCCTCCTCCTCCTCCTCCTCCCCCACATCCCCTGGGGGGCCCGGTCGAAGTCGGCCGCGTCGTGGCTCCCGTAGCCGAGCGCCCGCAGCCACTGCGGCGGCGGGGTCGGCGGCTGGGGGGCCGCCGCCTCCTGCTGCCGCCGGGCGGCGCGGGTGGGCCTGGGGTCGCCTGTGCGGGGGGGGGCCTCCCCATTCCCTTACTCTACTTTCTCCTCCTTCCTCTCCACCAATACCTCCTCATCCTCCTGTTCCCCCACTTTCTCTCATTTGCCTCTGCCTCCTCCTCCTCCTCCTCCTCCTCCTCGTCCTCGTCTGGGGGGGGGGCTCCGCCTCCTTTGGCGGCGCGCAGAGGGGGGTAGGGCGAGGGGGGAAGGCTCCTTAGGAGGAGGCTGCTTCTTAAAAGGCGCCGGCGTTACATCTACAGACAAGGCCCGCGCCTTCTAAGAAGCAGGGGTCTGGTCTGGTCGCCGCGGGGGAACAAGTCAGGACAAAATCTTTGTTCGCCGTTTTCGGCCTCCAGGGGCCCTTCCCGGGCCAAGGGCCGTCAACAAAAACGATTTAGGATGACAAAGCGGTGGGTCGAGACCTTGAGTTGACACTCTGGTGTGGAGAAAATCGGGCTCCACATCGAGCCGTATCGCCGATGCATCAGCGATTCGCCGCGATCCTCCAACAACTCCATCTAAGGGTGCGTTCTAGGAGTTCTGGAGCAACTAGCGGCCTTGACCTCTGGAGCCTGGGCGGGGCGACAGGAAAGCATGGAACCCTTAGAACGCATCGTGACGTCTGGGCGACGAGAACTAACCCCGAACGATCTGGACAAAGACGACCACGACCGGAAGCTCTCGACTCCCGCTTTGTGCGAACCGCTGACGGAGCTTCCAGGCCCAACTTTCTCCGTCGGGTCGATGCCCAGACCTCCGCTGCCTCAGCTTGTCTGCAACAACTACATTCGACTACACGCAAGAGTGACCCTGGGTAAGAGCGACCTTTGGTGCGCGGCTTTTTGGGGTTCGTGGGGGGACCAAGCACGAGCGCGCAAGACGCTACTGCCGCATCGCGTTCGGCGATCGGGGGACCCCATTGGGCCTGCACCAAAGGTCACTCCGGCGAAAGGTCACCCTTGCGTGTATAGTCGATATATATATATATATATGTACACATATCCGCCGGCCCCCTTGTGGGGCCACCAGGCTGCGAGACACGGGTTCGCAGTTTCCAGTACCAGTTGTAGCTTGTAGTTTCCAGTGTTACAGTTCTGCTTCTTGCTGGTTACTGTAACTAGTTGATTGACCGCGCGAGGGGGGGGGAGGCCCAAACAAGACTTTCCAGCGTCCACTGGGCGCGTTGTCTGAATTACTGAGGGGGGCTCGAAATCGACACCCCTCACGCAGATCCGCGGGGTCAGGGTACAAAAACACAGGGGATTTGCCACATTTCTGAAATTCGGTGCCACCCCTCACGCAGATCCGCGGGGTCAGGGTCCAAAAACACAAGGGATTTGCCACATTTCTGAAATTCGGTGCCACCCCTCACGCAGATCCGCGGGGTCAGGGTCCAAAAACACAGGGGATTTGCCACATTTCTGAAATTCGGTGCCACCCCTCACGCAGATCCGCGGGGTCAGGGTCCAAAAACACATGGGATTTGCCACATTTCTGAAATTCGGTGCCACCCCTCACGCAGATCCGCGGGGTCAGGGTCCAAAAACACAGGGGATTTGCCACATTTCTGAAATTCGGTGCCACCCCTCACGCAGATCCGCGGGGTCAGGGTCCAAAAACACAGGGGATTTGCCACATTTCTGAAATTCGGTGCCACCCCTCACGCACATCCATCGCAAGGCGTGGTAACCCAAACTGCGAGTACTCCCTCGGCCCTTTAATCCCAAGGTGTGGTAACCAAGCTCGTAAACCATACACGTCTTACCAATCGCCCTGTGTGGTAACCCCTCTCTTGTGATCAGTTGGTTTTGCCGATTGCGAATCGGCCTCGCATGAAGTTCCAATACTGCTGCACGACAGCGCCAAAGCCTCATGACTTAGCTCTTCCATGGCCCATTCTCCGAGAGAGGGGGCCGGCGGCAGAGGGCGAAGCCCTTACGGATATAAATATACACATCTGTATACTAGAAACATCGCGCGCGCTTCGCGCGCGCGATGGTTCTAGCCCAGGCCTGGGGGGCGCTGAATGATCTTGGACAGCGCTATCCAGCACAGGCGCGTGATTCTGTCATGCCTCCTGAGGGCCTCTTGGGGACCTCTTGGATCTTCGGGGGGCATCTGGGGGGTTCTCCGTGCTTCCTCACTTGAGCGACGATCAAAAACGGGTCTTACGCGAGATGACACAGCGACCTTACACGGCGGCTTACACGGGCCGCCCGCGCGGCACGCCAGTTTGGAGACGAGGGCGCTTACGCGCGACCCTACGCGGGCAGCTTACGCGCCAATGTCGGCGCAGTTGGACCCCTGTTGTTTCGTCGCCCGATTGGCTGTTGGAGGCATCTCTTGGGTGCTGGCTCCATTTTGGCCTCTTCGGGGGGCAACCCTAAAATAAGCTCCCCTCTTCTTTGATAGATTTCCTCCAAGATGGCCCCACGAAGCGCCCAGGAGGCCCCAAGAGGTCCCAAGATGGCTCCAAGATGGCCCCAAGATGCCCCTGAGAGGACCCCAAGCGGCCCCAAGAGTCAAGAGGCCCCCCCGAGGCACCCAAGACGCCCAATCAAGAGCCTCCCAGGGGACCGCCAAGAGACCCCCGAGACGTCCCAAGAGGCCACCAAGAAGCGCCCAAGAGATCTCCAAAGAGGCTCCGAGAAACATCCAAGAGACCTCTGGCCCTTTGGCTTGCCCTCCTCCTCCTCCTCCTCCTGCTCCTCCTTCCTCCTCCTCCTCCTACTCCTTCTTTTCCTCCTCCTCCTCCTCCTCCGCCTCCTATCCATCCCGCTCTCGCCCGACCCGACGCGACGACCTCTGAGCGGCAGCCTGCCTCCGGCGGAGCTGGCCGCGGCGCCCTGCGGGCTCGGCGCCGGCGCTGGCGGAGCGGCGGCGGCGGAGGCCGGCGGCGTCTCGCCGTCCTGGCGCGCCGCGGGCCTCTCGCCCCTGTCCCAGCCCGGGGGGGGGGGTCCCAGAGGTCCAACTCATTGAAAACATCAAGACGGCGGTTGCTCGCAGATTTCGACCCCATAGAGGCCCTCGCCCTGCCTCGGGGTCGTCAAGCAACGACTCAGAATGACAAACCGGTCCTGGGGAACGGGTCGAGACTTCGGGGGGCCCCGTATTGAAAAAATCACGACGTCGGATCTCTCGGTTCAGAGGCTGTGGGGTGATGGACCAGTTTTCCACCATCACTACCACAGGCAGGACGGGGGCCTCGCGTCCCCAGACATGATCGCGTCGTCAAACAATCAGGACGGCATGTTTTTCATCATTTTCGGCCTCGGGGGGCCCTCGACGGGCCTCGGAAGCGTCAAATATCAAGGACGTCGCATGTCTGGGTCCCTGTCCCAGCTGGTGGGTGGGTGGAGTCAGAGACTGTGGGGTGATGGGCTAGTTTTCCACCACCACTACCCATAGGCAGGACGGGGGAAGGAGGAGGATGGGGAGGTCCTCCTCCTCCTCTCCTTCCTCCTCCTCCTCCTCCGCCTCCTCATCATCCTCCTCCTCCTCCTCCTCCTCCTCCTCCTCCCTGTCCCAGCCCTGGGGGGGGGGGGATTCAGAGATTCCGTGTAGGTGGAGACGGACACCCTGGGAGGGGGAACGGACGACGGGCAGCACTGCCTGCCCGGGACCACCGTGGCGGCGCGTACAGTCGGGGTGGATTGAAGAGGACACGCGAGAGGACACAAGACTCGTCCGAGGGCCGCATTGCCATACATGGGCGTGATTAAAGTTTGGCCCTTTTTTAGCATAGCCGAAGTAATGGCTACGACGACGATGCATCCACACGCTGTTGTGGCATGAGGGGGTGCTTCGATCGGTGTCGTTGTGATGTGGAGCTGGTTGCACCGAAATGCAATCAGTGCTACTTGGGCGCAGCAGCGCCTGAGCACCAGCAGATTTTGTGAGGATGTCCCACGCGGTTTGCCGTTTTCGAACCGCCATCCTTTTGTTTCGAACTGGGTCCGACGCCGTATTTTGAGGGAAGCCCCACGCGAAACGCTCATTCTGCTTTTGTTTCGAACCGCATTCTATTGTTTCGAACCGAATTCGAACCGTCTTGAGAGCCAATTTTGTGAGGATGTCCCACGCGGTTTGCCGTGTTCGAACCGCCATCCCGTTTGGCTTAACAAAATTTTAATTGAAGGAACCAGATCCAGGTTCGAACCCCGCCCCGACAGTCCAGGTTCGAACTCCGCCCCGAAAGCGAGGCACCTCCCCGTAACATTGTACCAGGCTCCACGTCCCTAGCGGGGCGACTAGCGACGTGCGTTCGCATTGCGGACGCAGGATGCACTTCTGCCGACCCGTCCAAATGGGGCAACCTGTCATCGCGGCACAGACGTGTGCTCGCATTGCGGACGCAGGATGCACTTCTGCCGACCCGTCAAAGTGGGGCAATCTGTCATCACGGCACAGACGTGTGCTCGCATTGCGGACGAAGGATGAACTTCTTCCGACCCGTCAAAATAGGGTAATCTTTCATCACGGCACAGTATGAATGTAGAAGCATGGGTCGCGAGGCACAGGACACAAGGGTACCCGTTGATTTGGCAGGGTCGACCTACTAATCGCGGCAGACTGGGCGGCCGGCGCGGTGAGGCCGTGGCCCCCGCCGTTCCCTGGGCACCGACGGCAGCACTGAACAGGCACCAATGGGAAGGAGAACAGGTACCATGGGGAAAGGGGGACGACGAATCCCCCAGGGGAGCAACATTCTTACTGGTTGCCGCCACTGCCGTGCTTTCCAATGACCAGGCCAAGCCTTGCTGCTTGCCGCCGCCTGCCATGCTTACCGGCTGCCGGGCCTTGTCGGTAGCAGCTGGGCTTACCGCGGGTTGAAATCCCACCCGTTGCTGCTAGAGTAACTTGAAACGTGCATGTCCCTGTCCCTCCCTCCTTGTTTGCCAACCCTATGCTCAATGCGACGCTCAAGGATGACAACAATTACAAGCAAGTCACTACTGCATCACTACAGGAACACTCAGGCGGCACGTCTCTCGTTAGCCTCCGC